AATTCCTAAAACATCGCCCTAAATTCTCAAAATCTTCTCAAAAAACTACCAAATTCGAGAAACATCCCACAAAATCTCAACAACTTTCCACATAATCTAGGGAAAATCCATCAAAATTCTTCATGTCTCCACAATACCTAAAAAAATTCCAAAAACACCCCATAAAATCCCCGAAATCTTCTCATAATCTTTCCAAATTCCAGAAACATCCCACAAAATTCCTGAAATTTTCTCAAAACTCTACCAAATTCAAGAAACATCCCACAAAATCTTAACAACTATCCACACAATCTAGGAAAAATCCATCAAAATTCTTCTTGTCTCCTCAAAATCCCACAAAATCCACAAAAATCACACAAAATTCCCAAAATCTTCTCAAAACCGTACCAAACTCCAGAAACATCCAACAAAATTCCAAAACTCTTCTCAAAACCCTTCGAAATTCTAGTAACATCCCACAAAATCTCGATAACAGTCCACACAATCTCGGAAAAATCCCTCAAAATTCTTCATGTCTCCTCAATATCTCAAAAAATTCCAGAAACATCCCACAAAAACCCCGAAATCTTCTGAAAATCTTTCCAAATTCCAGAAACATCCCACAAAATTCCTGAAATTTTCTCAAAACGCTACCAAATTGAAGAAACATCCCACAAAAACTTAACAACTATCCACACAATCTAGGAAAAATCCATCAAAATTCATCATGTCTACTGACAATCCCAAAAATTCCACAAAAATCCCTCAAAATTCCAGAAACATTGCACAAAATTCCCCAAATCTTCTCAGAACCCTTCCAAATTCCAGAATCATCCCACAAAATCCTCTAAATCTTCTCAAAACCCTACCAGCTTCCAGAAACATCCCACAAAATCTTGACAACTTTCCACACAATCTTGTAAAAATCCATCAAAATTCTTCATGTCTCCACAATATCTACAAAAATTCCAAAAACACCCCATAAAATCCCCGAAATCTTCTCGATTTCTACCAAATTTTAGAAACATTCCACAAAATTCCCTAAATCTTCGCAAAACCCTTCGAAATTCCCGTAATAGCCCACAAAATCGTGAGAACTTTCCACACAATCTAGGAAAAATCCATCAAAATTCTTCTTGTCTCCTCAAAATCCCACAAAATCCAGAAAAATCACACAAAATCCCCAAAATCCTCTCAAAACTGTACCAAACTCCAGAAACATCCAACAAAATTCCAAAACTCTTCTCAAAACCCTTCGAAATTCTAGTAACATCCCACAAAATCTCGATAACAGTCCACACAATCTCGGAAAAATCCCTCAAAATTCTTCATGTCTCCTCAATATCTCAAAAAATTCCAGAAACATCCCACAAAAACCCCGAAATCTTCTTATAATCTTTCCAAATTCCAGAAACATCCCACAAAATTCCTGAAATTTTCTCAAAACGCTACCAAATTGAAGAAACATCCCACAAAATCTTGACAACTTTCCACACAATCTTGTAAAAATCCATCAAAATTCTTCATGTCTCCTCAAAATCCCAAACAATTCTACAAAAATCCCTCAAAATTCCTAAAACATCCCACAAAATTCTATGAATCTTCTGAAAACCCTACCAAATTCCAGTAATAACCCAAAAAATCTTGACAACTTTCCACACAATCTAGGAAAAATCTCACAAAATTCTTCATGTCTCCTCAAAATTCCCAAATAATTCCAGAAATATCCGACAAAATTCCCAAAATCTTCTCAAAACCCTACCAGCTTCCAGAAACATCCCACAAAATCTTGACAACTTTCCACACAATCTTGTAAAAATCCATCAAAATTCTTCATGTCTCCACAATATCTAAACATCAAACAAAATTCCAGAAACGTCCCACAAAATTACAGAAATCTTCTCCAAACCCTACCAAATTCCAGAAACATCCCACAAAATCTTGAGAACTTTTCACACTCTCTTGGAAATATCTTTCAAAATTCTTCATGTGTCCTCAATATCCCTCAAAATTCCCAAAAATTCCCACAAAATTCTTGAAACTTCCCACAAAATTCCCAAAATCTTCTCAGAACCCTACCAAATTCCAAAAACATTCCACAAAATTTGGACACCTTTCCACACAATTTAGGAAAAATCCCTCAAAATTCTTCATATCTCTTCAATATCCCCAAAAAATATTCCACAAAATTCCCGCAAAATTCCTGAAATATCCCACAAAATTCGCGAAATCTTCTCAAAACTCTTCGAAATTTCAGTAACATCCCACAAAATCTTGACAAATTTCCACACAATCTACGAAAAATCCGTCAAAACTCTTCATGTCTCCTCAAAAATCCCTCAAAATTCTAAAAAAACCCAAAGAAATTCTGGAAAAATCCCTCAAAAATTCCCAAAATCTTCTCCAAACCCTACCAAATTGTAGAAATATCCCACAAAATCTTGAAAACTTTCCACACAATCTCGGAAAAATCCATCAAAATTCTTCAGGTCTCCTCAAAATTCCCAAATAATTCCAGAAATATCCCACAAAATCCCCGAAATCTTCTCAAAACCCTACCAAATTCCAGAAACTTCCTACAGAAACGAGAAAACTTTTCAACACAATCTAGGAAAAATCACTCAAAGTTCTTCATGTCTCTTCAAAATTAAACAAAAATTCCACAAAATTGCAGAAAAATCCGACAAAATTCCTGAAATCTTCTCAAAACCCTACCAAATTCCAGGAATATGCAACAAAATCGTGTCAAGTTTACCCACAATCTCGGAAAAATCCATCAAAATTCTTCAAGTAAATTCAATATCCCACAAAATTCCAGAAACATCAAACAAAATTCCAGAAACGTCCCACAAAATTACAGAAATCTACTCCAAACCCTACCAAATTCCAGAAACATCCCACAAAATCTTGACAACTTTCCACACAATCTCAGAAAAATCTATGAAAATTCTTCATGTCTCCTAAAAATCAAAAAAAATTCCACAAAAAATCCCAGAAAGTTCTTGAAACATCCCACAAAATTACAGAAATCTTATCCAAACCCTTCCATATTCCAGAAACATCCCACAAAATCTTGAGAACTTTCCAAAAAATCTCGGAAAAATCCCTCAAAATTTTTTATGTCTCCTCAAAATTCCTCAAAATTCCACAAAAATCCCTCAAAATTCCACAAAATTCACAAAATCTTCTCAAAACCCTACCAAATTCCAGAAATATGCAACAAAATCGTGTCAAGTTTACCCACAATCTAGGAAAAATCCATCAAAATTCTTCAAGTAAATTCAATATCCCACAAAATTCCAGAAACATCCCACAAAATTCCAGAAATCATTACAGAAATCTACTCCAAACCCTACCAAATTCCAGAAACATCCCACAAAATCTTGACAACTTTCCACACAATCTCAGAAAAATCCATCAAAACTCCAATTTCACAGGCCTATTTAACATTTGATCCATCAAAATCAGTCCTTTGCTTTGTATTTTGGAAACTTGTTCATCTTGGGGAATTTGCCATCTTCTCAGGGTATTGAAGGTCCATCAAATGCTGCAGGTTTCATTCTTCCTTTAATATGGTCTATGTGCTGGAGTTTGACTCTTAAGCAGAGCTAATTTTTTATTTTGCAGCCTAGCAGTTCTACTGTGGGGCTCTGGGCAGGTCAATTCACTTGAGAACGATGGGTAAATCAGTTCCTGGGAAGATGTGCACTGCCTGGCCCCGATGCTTCAGCATGCTTGAGGTCAGCTTGGCTGTCTCCGACTGTCTAATAATAATGCAGAATAATAGAATTAAGTATTCATTTTAATTGCTGATCAATAAGATGTGTTTTCATCTAAATCTGCGTGCTAGTTTCTAAACCACTACAGTCTGTTTCATCAATGACCTTCTTGATTTTAGCTTAAGCTTTCTAGATTCTGCCGATCTTATTTTCTCGCCTGTCCCTGGGAGAGGAAGGGATGATGGCTGGAGGTTTGGCAGTCAGCGAGGGCCTGGCCACCACTACAGTTCTGGACACTCAGCCTTGGAGATGTGATCAGGAATCTGCTGTTAGTTCCCAGTTTTGTATTGCAAAGACTGACCATGCTGCCAGCACTGTGTTTTATGAGTGAATTTTCATTTGGTCAAACTCCAAAGCAGCCTTAATTTTAAGGTGGAATTCTTTGTGGATGAGGCTGTGAAGAATATGGTGTTTATACTCCCATCCTACTGGCAGTACAGTAGAACAACTCCTAACAGATTTGGTAATAAAGACCTAGTTTTTCTTCACTAAACCTGCCCTAGCAAAATTCATAAGCTGGTGATAGCTATCTCTGGCGTGGAAAATCTTTATTGAGTTTATTGACAATTTAATATACTTTGTCAAGCTTTGCTGCTTAGTTTCTGTTTATCCAGAGACACCTGGGGCTACCTTTGCTTCCTAAGGGATTAAACTAGCAAGCACTTAGAATCAGATTTTGGGAAGATGGGTGCAGGAGACTTGGTAATTCACTTCAGAAAAACATAATAATGATGAACACTTCAGATGGAAATGATAGTATTTGACATACTATGTGAAATGCTTTTAAGTTATTTTTTAGTTTTTCTTTAATTTTTAATCCTGGATAAATTAAATGAGGCTTTTGGGGAAAGCATGAGCTGGAATTTATATTGTATTTATATTGCCCCGCCGTCACCGAGGACAGGGCTGTCCAAAGAAGTTGATGCAGCTGCTGAGGCAGAACTGTGACCTGATGCAGCTGCACCTTCGTTACTGCTCTCAGCCGAGGCCAAGAACCAAGTCAGCGGCAAAAGTGGGCATTGGGAGGAGACTCCGCATCTCCCCTCAGTTCTGACCTCCAGAGCGTCAAATCAGCTCTTTGACTCACAGCTCACCACAGACCTCGAAACAGGAGGCAAAGATCTACACCAGTTGGCCTTTCACAACTTCTCACCCATCTATTACCTTTCTGTGGCCAGCTTCAGAAAATGGGGGAAGCCATTCCAAAGAACACGACCAAGGAAATCACACAGCACTCGGGACTTTTTCCAGGCATCAAATTTTTAATGGATGATGTGAAGTAACACAGAAGCAATTCCTGTCCACAGAAAAAAAGATTTCAAATGGTTTTGTCTCAAAGACAATCACTGGATGTTGAAAATTTCTGCTGCTGAAAGTTACATTAGGTCCTCAACACTGAGCAATCAATATCCCCACAATCTAAACTGTGAAATTACCACCTCGGCAAGGAGAAAATTTTCAGGATTTGCAACTCATCTCAAAACTTCAGTAGAACTGAACCAGCAGAATTTCCCTGAGATGCCATTGTGTTCTGGAACCCCTCAAATACTCACTAAAACAGACTTTACTTTCAGTAGGACAGCTGTTGATGAAAATCTGCGGTAAAACCTATGGGAAGTGGCCATGTGCACGCATCTTCCTTCCCACAGCAGGCACAATCAAATCCTCCTTTGGATGGCCTCAAAGTTGAGCAGCACTCATTGGCACAGCCTCTTCTCCCACAGACAGGCCAGTGAGCAACACGGCAGCGCCAGCCAGATGGGCAAGGACAAGAGAGAGCAGATGCCAACAAGGCTTTGAAGCTGTGCCAAGGGAGGTTTACG